GGGCTATGTCAAGGGACCGCCCTCTCGGGTCCATAAAGCAAACCGTCGCAGATTTGAGCATAGAGTTCTTACTAGCAAAGTGTCCAAGAAGATAGCCTCCAACCTGCTTTCATGAAACCGCACTCCCAAACATTGACGGCAAGACGCTCTTGCGCCACGCTCTTGGCCGACTCCAGCAGCGAGCAGGAGTGCGCCAGCCAGTCCGGCTCATCTTCCTGCAGGTCTGCGTTGGAGGAGTTAGGCAGGATCCCACAAACCATGTAGGTTGTTGCTAGCCGGCTGTCAGGCTGAGTGCAACACCCCTTATCCCACCCGTGTCCTCGCTCAGAAGCGGAGAGAACCAGTGCTGTCCGGGTCCGTACAGTTGGGGTAGGCTGCATTGCTGTTCTTTGCAGATTGCCAGGAGGTGCTCCCTGACTAGCTTTACTGGGTACCTGGACAATTGCTTTCTTGCTCCCAGGTCATCCAGGACACGAGGCAGCAGAAGCGACCACGGGTTGCTGCGTAAGATTCGCCGCAGCATGGCCAACCAGAAGACTCGCTGCAGCCTTAGTTCACCCAGGCAACCTGCCGTGTTTGCTTGTGAGTAATCCCAGGTCTTCGGTATTAGCCATCTTTACAACAGGGCACACGCACATAACATCACCAGAACAGAGCGTGATAGTTTTCTCCCCTTGCAAAAAAGCAGCAAACGCGTGAGTTCCGAGTAACTGCTCCGGCTTGGAGGTTCTGGCGACCTCAGTTGCCGCCATGCGCTTTGCGCACAGGTCTTTCATGATCAGCCAGCTCTCGCGATCTTCCATGTGCGTTGGCGCCAGCAAGAAGTGCTTGCTCCAGCGAGGCCCCGCGCTCGGCGGCAGCAGCCACCGAGCCAAGACCCGATGTTGCAGCATGAGGTTTCCTGAGCTGTCCCCACACAGGAAGCAACCCAAGAAAGATGTCACAGTCATATTATCCCACGGCTCCGAAACCGCAACGTACCCTAAGCCCGGAATCTGCCGCAGTGCTCCTTGGCCTCCAGGGGCACAGGCACGCCGCGCGTGCACAAATCCCGCACGAGAGTGTGGACGAGCAAGTCCAGGAAGCCATGGAAATGGACAGGAGGATCGGGCAACTCCCATCCATGAGGATGCATCGCTCGCGCGGGCGCAGTAATAGCGGCCTTTCAGTTTCGGGCGCGAGTTTTCACGGCCGTTCGGCCGAGTTATCACGGCCTCACGGGGGCCAACGGGCGCATCTGGCCGAGGACATCCACCAGCGCCTACACTGCCGGGGCAACGCAGGAAGATCCGCAAGAGGATCTAATTACAACCCAGGCCATTGCACTGGACTTTTTCTAGCCAAGAAGTTGCCGACTTGCGTCCTCCAAACGACGGTGACGAGGGAAGGAGTACTGCCCCAAGATCTGACTATGCACGGTGCGATGACACTGTCGGAGCAGTCATATTTACACTACCGGCGCTGTCGAACGGGTGCCTCGCTATGTGCGTTGCAATACTGAGGAATCGTGTCGAAAGGCTAAGTAGAGAGCACGGACGCGGCCTACGCTGCGCGTCCAAAAACTATGCCTCGAGGTTTGACACTGTCGCAGGGGACATGCAGGAATCGTTCAACAGTTTCGACCGCACCAATGTCCACAAGCAAGTGATATTTGAAAGGCTGCGCACCATCGATGGAAAACACATTAGCATGAGGAGACACAATGAAGTGATAGAAGAAGTCATCGAGGAGCATGAACAGGAGAGAATCTCCTCGACGGACAGCGCGGTGAAGCGCACAGAGCACTGACGGGAAGCGCGCAACGGTACACCTATCATGGAATATAATATATATATACACATCTAATATCACCAACATGTGCAGCGCTGGTGTGATTGGTATGCGTTGCATAAGGTTCTACACTTCAGCCACGGGGGATTCTTTTGCGAGTGACACTCATACGCAACTGAACAATCCGACCCACAGATCATCGCGACGTGGTCAGACGCACTTTCTCATCCATCGGCTTTCTGCCTGGCAAGCCGGGCAAGTCCCACGGTGGCTTAGCCCCTGAGTCACCCTTGCCTACACTGCCATCACCGGCAACACCTGCGGCCGACACCAATCAACAACAAGCGCAACCCAGAAAATTCCCAAGCTCGCCCATGGACAGACTCAGATGAGCACCTTCGCGGTCCCAAGATGGATGCCAAGGCTAAGCGCTCGTGCAAGGCCATAGCGCAATGCCAACGGCTCGGGCGGCGGACGTCGCCCAGCAAGGGAACAGCAGCGAGAGATTTGGGTCTCTCTTGGAGGTGGCGGCTTTAAAGCTGATCACCCAGATTTGCCTATCACTTTCAACACGCTGGCAGGACCATCGGTTTCTTCCATTCCACGGATTGGTGTCTTTTCTGCTTCATGGTCCTACATGGCCGCCGATCAGAAATCTGTTGCCCTTCAATGTTCCAGGAGACATTGAGGGAAACCTGCTCTACTTGGCAAGTCCATGGAATCTTCAAACCGAGCTCTCGGTGCGGGTTCTCTCGTGTGGATCATCTGCGCCAGCGCGTGACAAATGATGACAGCGCAAGTCCAGTTTTGCACCCTGCGCGCCAAGAATCACCCAAGTCTTCTACAACATCAGCCCTCATCGGGAAAAAGACGAAGGAAGCCATGGCGGTTGCCGGTCACTGGAAGATCAGGGTCACGAACTGGGTTGCCGGCTGTTGGGTCCTCACCCTCAAGCAAGATAAGGCGATGATTTCCTTCCGAAGATAAGGCGATGACCGCATCACCGCGCCTTCGGCGTCTCCGAGGTGTCGATTTGGAGAATCGAACAAGCAAGTTGTTCTCAGGAGCTCTACGCCATCAGCGGGATCATGAGCGAGATCGAGATCAGGATCGCCCAACTGTAAGTCAACCAGGACAGACCAGCAGAGTTGTGCCAGCCGATCAACGCAACCAATCACTCATCGATCTAGTTGGGTAACAAGCCGAATCTATTGCTCAGGGCATTGTTGCCACGCTTCGCCAAGGCCATTTTAGTGCTGGCGTTCGTCTTCCCGGAGTAGGGTGGCAGGTGCGAAGATCAAGTACAATCAGGCAATTTGGTACTGAGGACAGGCTGGATCACCAGCATGCCGCCAGGAAGCGCGTGCGCCGAACGGAGGTGTGTAAATCATCAGAGACTCGAGACACTGATGGGGGCATGGCATCCACATCTGCGACGAGGAACCTCAGGTCCGTCAAGACGAAGATTGAATTTATGATCAGTTCAACACCAGGGAGACCGTTGAAGACTTGAAGGCAAAAGGTTTCCACGTGACCTTGACGGTTGATGAGGCAGAGCGTGAGTTCGACAGGGCTAAGTGGAATTATAAGAGATCATCGGAGAGTGCAACAAGAAGCCATCATCTACCTCATTTGCTCATGTCAGTCCCAAGGAGAAGTTTCAATTATGGATGAGTTTCGATGGATGCAGCCAAGGTCAGGACACCCAGTCATGCGCCCAATAGGCATCAATAAAAGTTACAACCGGTCAGACAACAGCAAGATCCAGCCTACAATTCTTCAGCCAGAAGTCCTTGAGCGCACTGCCGCTTCAAAGTCTCGATCGTCGGCAATCACGGGGGAATGCGGCGTCGCAGGGGGGTGTGGCGTCACGGGGGAACGTGGCGTGGGGAATGCGGCGTCGCGGGAGAACGCGATGTGGCAGGGCAATGTGGCGTCACAGGGGTGTGCGGCGTCACGGGGGAATGTGGTAGGGGGATGTGCCGTCACGGACCGATACGGAATGCGGCTTCGAATGTGTCGCGCGAAAGCGCTACCCCGTCTGCCGGCTCCCTGGATTATCAGGTTTCCTGTGCAAAACGGTTCAAGCGCATGACGGATGAGATGTAGGGCGCGACAGCGACTGGCGTGCTCCTCTCATATCGTGAAACCAAGAAAGTCATCAAGCGACACATGAAAGCATGGAAGGATTTTACAAGCAGGACCGCTACAACAGGTACGGCGACAACCGGTTACGATGACTCCGGATGGACAGATTACAGCAAGAACTGGCACAAAGGAAACTCCCTGAAGAGTAGTTACAGCAAGAACTACTACCATCAGTAGTGTTGGCGCTGAAGATCAGCAATCATGACCAGCTTCCTCAAGCTATGACCAATGTCCAATTCGCAACAACCGATGGCGCCACGATATGAGCAACCAATCGACATCCTCACAAGACTCTTTGCGTCAACCTCATCGTGTACAAGACTATCCCATGTCGATGTCAAGTTCATCGTCTATAAGGATATCCATTCCTGAAGCGAGTGAGATGACCAGATGCGCAACCCTTTGACACAAACAGATATTAACTTTTGCAGTCGTTTCTTACGCACAGAATTTGTAGAAATCTTATAGATACCAGACAAGCCGGCATGTCCGAGTCACAAAATAGAGTGACTTTTTTGATACGATCGAAATCGATGATCTAAGTGTTTCTCAATGGCTACGGCGCATGTGAAATATGGCTACGGCATAGGGGCTTGAGATTCTAATTCGACGCAAAAGGTCAACAGAAATTTGCGTATGTTTGGTTCTGTGTTTCGCAGACCATTGACCGTTGGGCAACGAGCAATGAGTTGTACCACGTATGGCTCAAGGCCCTTTGTTCTACCAATAGAGTTCAGACTCGCCAGTTATTCGCACATTGTGGCGTTTCCACAACAGTGTCAACCATGAATAGAGACTGCTGGGGGAGAGGGGGGTGGAGGGGGGGTGGAGGGGGGGTGACTTCCGTTTAGACGAGGCAAAATTCCGCGTCAAGAAGCAATAATTGCACAACGCGCGGCAATCACCCAAGCAAGATCACATACTCCACAACACACGCCGGCCGAGACGGCGGAGTAATAGGCTCGCGCAAGCAACTTGGCGTAAGAGTCCCTTTCGTCCTAGATTCTAACGAGTCCTGTTGAACGCCGCTCATATGCGGAACCATTTCGCTGAGATTTCTGGCACGCGCGCTTTTGCGAAAGGCACGATGCTGTTTCTGTCCAAAGAGCCCGTGCCTGAGCTCGGCTGCCAGACCCTGCGGATTGCTTGTTTGGTTCATGAGAAAAGGAGTTTTGCAGCATTTTTATTTTCGTCGGCCTTGTGTGTCAGGAGGGAGAGGCTGGCAGCGGCTGAAGAGGCCGCTTGAGCGCAACGGGCCGTCAAAACGGCTTATAGCATTGGGTCTCGAAGATCGCGTTGCGAACGCTGTTCGACGCCAAGCTCGGAGGCTTTGGTTTTGACCAGGGAAATGCTGGCCGGAAGCTTAGACCAGAGCTTCCCTTTTCAGTTCTCCAGCAGCCCTTTTTGAAGGGGTTGTTCAATCAAGTTGTCTCACAAAGGCCCTTCTATCCCCCCCCCCAGCGCATGGACAAATTTATCAGAAAGAATTTGATCCCTCTAGATTTATGCTTTACAGAGGAACATGCATGTGAAGGTTGGTTCGTACATGCGATCTATGAGCCTGGTCATTATCTTTGCCTCTTTCAAGCCCAACTTGAGCATCAAACAGTTGGGCAGTGTTTCTGCTCACCATGATGTGCGGCGGTACATTCGCTGCCCAGGCCCATGCAATGTGTCCACGTCCTTTTGGCTTGATCTTACCGGATCAGCCCAAGTAGCCACTTGCCGTTGGCACAGCTGCTCGCATTGACATGTCCGGAGCAACAATGCCACCAATCCGTTACGCAGTGTGTTTGGCCTGTTCCTTCTGATTTTCACCCACACACGTCTCTCGGTATCCAAAGAGTTTGCAGTTCGGCCAGAGGTGAGGCTTGCTGAACCCCCTACCGAGAAAGATACCCAAAGAACGAAGCCCGCAAGGTTCGGCTTGGCACCATCTAGGGTTGAATAGACACAAACTCTTGGAGCTTGCTGAGGCCGATTCGGAGAAGGTGCCCATTTCATGAGATGTTGTGATGCGTTTTGAGGTTTCTGGAACATATCTGGTGTCTTATCTTGGGCGATACTCGCGATACGAGTATCCGCACTTTGGTTTATCTCCCAGCATTCCCTTGAGCGCCCAGCCAGTGAGTTGCAGCCTTGCGACCGGAGTCATCTGGGAGACCTAGAGTATTCTTGTGCAAGAGACTTTGTTGCAGCGCTCCAGAAATGAGCACCTAACTTTTTGGAACCCTCCCGGGCTATTTCTTGGATCCGAAAGGTAGCAAGAGTGTTTAGTGAACAGGTTGGGGTTCCCCTTCTTGCAGAGATCGATTGGGCGTTGAATCTGACAGCCCAAATGGCTCAAGCTGCTTCTGCTCAAGATGCGCTAGTCTCATGGGACAAGAAAAGCGTCCGTCTGATGGCAAAGGCCTGGACAAAGTGAGCCCTAAGGGACCTTGCAAGGGCGTATGTGAAGCCAAGCCAGGTGTGAAGGTGTAAGCTACATTTGCAACGCGGAGCGCGGTAGGCTTGCGTTCTGTTTTTCTTTGTAAGAAAAGAAAGTGAAGCGTCGCCCGCCGCGCGCCGTTTTCCTATCATTTTTGGATCTCGCCCGAAGCATTGAGGGGGCCCTGACTGGACTACATAGATCTTTGCAGCCATCTTGGTGGATTATTAACAAGTTCGGCCCCGATAGCTTGATTGCATTTTGGCTTGAGAAACTATCCATTCAAGCGAAATCCTAAATGTAGGACACCCCCGCTGACTCAGCCAATTGTGTGGGCGGCCGCAAGGCCAACTGCAGCGCGCCACACGCTCACTTTCAAATGCTGCCAAGCGTTGCCACTGGCAAGCGGCGTTGGCCACTCTCGCTGAGCTCCCTGAGAGCCTTGGCACAAAACACTGCGCGGAGCGCCAAGCAAGAAGGAGAAGCAAGTGTGACGTTTCCTCTCGCCACCGAAACAACAATATTTAGCAATGTAGCCTTGTATTGATGAACACTTCCGCAATTTTGAGGGGAGTGGATTCTTCCCATGGGGCCATGGCATTGCTAACGCGGGCATCTTTCAGACCTCCTGGGCAGTTTTAATACGCGTTGGAAGCGTTGCTTTGGTGCAGCGTGTGTGCCAAGGATGGGCCTGCAAGCCAATGTCATTACTTACAATGCTGCGATCAATGCCGTGGGCAAGGGTCAACAATGGACATTCGGACTCTGGTTGCTGCAGCGTATGCCAGCTGAGGGTCACCATCCGAATGTAATCAGCACCAATGCAATGCTGAGCGCCTGTGAGCGGTCTTCTCAATGGAACGTGGCAGTCGCCGCTTTGGCCAGGGGCCCTCGAGACTTGATCAGCTTCAACACGGCCATCAGTGCCATCAGTGCTTCTGCGGAAAGTTGGCACAAGGCCTTCGGTCTTTTCGGCCTTTTCGGTCTCTTCGGTCTCAAGGTTGAGGCCCCTGACGCCTTCACCTGCAACGCCCTTCTTCGCGCCTGCAACAAGGCCTGGGCCAGGGCGCTGACAGTGGCAAACTCCAACGTGCGGCCAAATGTGGTGATGTACGGCGCCGCCCTGAAGGTTTTGCAAGGTTGTTCCCAGTGGGAACAAGCGCTGGCGATGTTCAGCGCCATGCGGGCTCCAAACATCATTTGCCACTTTGCAACCGAACACGCTTGCTCCGACACACAAAGCAACTGTCACACGGTAGTGTAACTTGTAGCTTCCCGTCCTGCATTGCCATGTTAGCGTCAAGATATGTTGTTTGTTCAGTTTTGGCACGAGCCTGGCAGTTTCCTCAATCTGTTTGAATTTCCCAGGGGTTGGCCTCAAAGGGGGGCCAAACATGGGCCGAACAACTTGTTGCGCTTGACATGCGGGCCTAACAGCAGGAAATTCATTTGTGGTTTAGCGAGTTCCGCTACAGCTCGTCAGAATGGGGTCCATCTTTTGGACAAACAGCCGCTGGTCAAAAATACAACTTCCGAGTAAGGAGTTTTACCAGCGGAAGTTGAAGTTGTTTAAGACTGGTTTAGTATCAGTATGGTGTTGGTTTTAACATGTCCCCTAATACGACTGGAGTTGGGATCGGCGGAATATGTGCTCCTCTAGAATTTGCTTAGTCTTGGTTAAAGTATTTGCGATTTTGGAGAAATATTTATCAATAAGGTGCATTTGTGTAGGGGAATGCAAAATTAGTGAAATGCTTGGTGAGCTGCAGTGAAATTCCTGGGCTTTGCTTCTAACCTGACACTTGGATTTGCCTTGCGCATCGCCACTGAATTGGCCAATATATAAAAGATGCATATCTACAGTATTTTCTTTTGGTCTACTCTTACAAAGTGCAAAAAACAACGTTTTTTTCGGTTCTTCTGATATACGCAAGCATTAAATCTTATATAAGGCAAAAGCAACTGAGAGAGGTTCTAAGAAACCCAACGCATTTCACACGTCGAGTTGTTTTGCTCCATCAGAATTTCTGGCATTGCTCCTCATAAAATCATGTTCCTTCTGAAACTTTCAGAAAACCAACAAAACACTGAGTTTTTTGCCTGTGGGCATTGCTCATAAGTTTCGTTTTAATTTGCTCTGTTGTAATTTGTTGTAATTTGCTCTGTTGTAATTTGTTGTAATTTGCTCCCTTATGTTCTCGTCGAAGGTGTGACCATATCTGCATACGTCTTGCTGCATTCGACATCCTTCGCTGCACAGTTTTAGCAGCGTAGTCAGCGTAGATCAGACTGAAGCGAGTAATCTGCTACAGAAAATGACTTTGATTCAACAAATACTAGAATTTCAAAAGAGTTCAAGCAGGGCAGGACTGAAATAGATTTCCGAATTGAAAGCTGAATTCAACACTGGCTTTAAATTATTGACTCCAGCCTCAGAAGGTCTTATACGGCTCCTTCCAAGGCTCCTTAGAACGTTGATAGACTTAAAGTCTCAATAAAACTTTAGAATTGCGTCGGAGTTGAAACAAACAGAGTTTGACAAGGAAATAGTCCATATTTAAGATTCGACTCGGGACCCCCTATACAAGTCTTCCCTGCAATCGTGAGTCCGGACCCCACAGACAGGATGTCCTGCCCCCATGAATATGCTAATTACCCTTGGGGAAAGCGTGCAATAGTCGAGTCCTATTTTGGTCCTAGTCCTTGTTGAGAGATCCTTACAAGGACGACATGGCCGTTGAGGAATTATAGAAGACAGCCGAGCGAATTGAAATGAAAACGCGGCCGGGCAAAGTGCAATCCTGAATCTGGGCATGGGTTTAAACGATTTAAAAGATTCAGAAGAATCTGGGCTTGGGCTCCAGGTTCAAGATTGCTGAAAAAGTTTAGCTTGGAATCTTGCATCCCGGGCTAAGTTTAAAATATTTTAAAGATTGAGCTTCAAACCTCCCAAATTCAAGCTTCAAGATTCCCTGTAAAAGTTAGGCCTGGAACCTTGAGCCAGGTTTTAAAAGATAAGTGTAAATCTCCCAGGTCCAAGGTTCGATAAGAAAAGTTTGCCCCAAAGTTGGCATGAGTGTTTGACAAGTAAAGAGTTGGCGTGAGAAGTTGGCAGGCGAAGCTTGGCTGGCGTGAGAAGTTGGCAGGTAAAGTAAAGCTCGAAAAGTTGGCGTAAGAATTTGACAAGTGACTTAATTCTCGAGAAGTTGGCATGAGATGTTGGTAGGTGACCTCACTCTCGACAAGTTGGCATGAGATGTTGGTAGGTGACCTCACTCTCGGAAAGTTTGCCTGAGGTGTTGGCATGTGAAGTAACTCTCGAAAAGTTGGCATTTGAAGTTGGCAGGCAAAGCAATTCTGGAAACGTTGGCACGAAACGTTGGCATGTGAAGTAACTCTCGAAAAGTTGCATGAGGATTTGACAAGTGAAGAGTTGGCATGAGTTGTTGGCAGGTGAAGCAACTCTCGAAAAGTTGGCTGGCGCAGTTGGCAAGTAGAGCAATTCTCGAGAAGTTGGCAAGATAAGTTGGCAAGTGAAGTAACTCTCGAATAGTTGGCTGGCGATGTTGACGCGTAATGTAACTCTCAAAAAGTTGGCAAGAGAAGTTGGCAGGTGAAGTAACACTCGAAAATTGGCATGAGACGTTGGCAGACAAAGTAACTCTCGAAAAGTTGCATGAGGGTTTGCCAAGTGAAGAGTTGGCATGAGACGTTGGCAAGTAAAGTAAATCTCGACAAGTTGGCAAGTGACGTAGTTCGCGAAAAGTTGGCATGAGATGTTGGTAGGTCTCTCGAAAAGTTGGCATGAGAAGTTGGCAGGCAAAGTAACTCCCCCAAAGTTGGCAGGCGAAGTTGGCGTGCGAAGTAACACTCGAAAAGTTGGCATGATAAGTTGGCAGGAGAAAAAGTTCTCGAAAAGTTAGCGTAAGAATTTGACAAGTGACTTAATTCTCGAGAAGTTGGCATGAGATGTTGGTAGGTGACCTCACTCTCAACAAGTTGGCATGAGATGTTGGTAGGTGACCTCACTCTCGGAAAGTGTGGCTGAGATGTTGGCATGTGAAGTAACTCTCGAAAAGTTGGCATGAGAAGTTGGCAGGCGAAGTAATTCTCGAAAAGTTGGCACGACAAGTTGGCAGGTGAAGTAACTCTCGAAAACTTGGCATGAGAAGTTGGCGCGTGAAGTAATTCTCGAATATTTGGCAGTTGAAGTAACTGTGAAAAAGTCGGCATGAGAATTTGACAAGCGACTCTTCAAAAGTTGGCGTGGGGAGTTGGCAGGCAAAGTAACTCCCCCAAAGTTGGCAGGCGAAGTTGGCAGGCGAAGCAGCTCTCTCAAAGCTGGCGTGATAAGTTGGGCGGGGGAAGTGATTCTCGAAAAGCTGGCGTGAGAATTCGATAGGCGAAGTAATTCTCGAAAAGTTGGCACGACAAGTTGGCAGGTGAAGTAACTCTCGAAAACTTGGCATGAGAAGTTCGCGCGTGAAGTAATTCTCGAACATTTGGCAGTTGGAGTAACTGTGAAAAAGTTGGCACGAGAGTTTGACAAGCAACTCTTCGAAAGTTGGCGTGGGATGTTGGCAGGCAAAGTAACTCCCCCAAAGTTGGCAGGCGAAGTTGGCAAGCGAAGTAACACTCGAAAAGTTGGCATGCTAAGTTGGCAGGAGAAAAAGTTCTCGAAAAGTTGGCATGAGAATGTGACACGTGAAGTAGTTCTCGAAAAGTTGGCAGGCAAAGTTGGCAGGTGAAGTTTGCAGCCGCTTTTAGAAGAAGGCGCTTTCCGTGCTACTTGTGTGCTTAGAACTCGCGGTTCTCGAGCCGGAGCTGGGGGAAATAGGCACGTTTTTGACGCCAGAACTGCGGGGATACTCTTTGAGCCAGAACTATGGGCATGCGCTCGGCGTACTACGTTTGTACTCAAAAGTTGCGATTTTCCAGCCTGAGCTGCGCGAATGCTTTTCGCGTGCAGTTTGCGTAATTGAAACCTGCGATTTCAGCCGAGGCTGCGAGAATGCATTTCGCGTTCTACTTCAGTACTCGAGAGGTACGGTTTTCAAGCCAGAGATGCCGCGGACTAGGGGGCAATCGAGCCCGCGACCGCGGGCTTGCGAAAGCAGCCGCGAGACAACTTCCAAGGCCATTTCACGAGCAGCGCGTGTCAGAAAATTCGCAGCCGCGCTCAAGACAAATTCGTACGGGGCCACAGCGAGAACGATCCGACAAGCACAATCCCTGAAAGGGGCGCGTTTCAATGGCCATCGTCGGGCCTACCCCCCGCCAGAGAAAGCAGAAAGAACTCAGCATCGAGAAGAGAAGGTAGAAAAGGAAAAGTTGGCTAATGATTTAGGATAGTGAAGTAACGCCCGAAAAGTTTGCTTGCGTTTTACGATGCCGAAGTAATGCCCGAATAGGATTGGGCAGTTGGCTTGCGAGGTGAGTTTCTGTAGTTGGCTGATGAAGTCTGCGGCCGCTTTAGGAAAAGAGCCTTTCGCGATGCTTCCAGGAAAAAGAGGCTGAGGGCAACCGGGCTGGGCCCCAAGTTTTTGCGGGGAACGCTCAGGCTACAGTGCGGTCATGAGCGCCTGCGAAAAAGGGGGCCAATGGCAGCAAACTTTGGCGATGTTCCTTGAGATGGCGCAAAGGTGTTTGCAGGCGTGTCCAGCTGACAAACACCCATGTCTTTTGGGGTCAGATATGAACTATTGTTCAGGGCTCGTCACATGACGGGGATGTTTTGGGTTAGACCCTTTGCGGCCCTTTGTCAGGAAGACAAATAAGCGGCAACCAAATCCCCTCCTTTTTGAACAACCGTCTTATGAGGATGTCTCAATATAGGAAACTTGTGGGTGTGGAAAGGAAAACAAACCAACAGGAACAGGGGCCTCAGCATGCCGCATGCTAGGAAACATCCAATCATGAGCCACAATCAACATGTGCGACGTTTTCTGTAGGGGACAGTGCCAGCCAGAAGTAGGTGCGGCCGCCCTTCAGAAGACCCTTTAATACCAGGGCTCAAATGCTCCTTATTACGCACGCTTGTTGCCCATCCGGAGAAGAAGCGAATACCAAGGCAATGTTCTTTTCAACGCGAATCGGCCTTTTCACCCTTCGGCGTTGGTCAGTTTGTGTCAACCTGCCCAAAAGGTTTCGAAAAAAGGCCCTTCCGCCCTGCAGGCGGACCGCGTCGCCTGTGGGGCCGCTCTGTGCGCTTGCGAGGAGAAGTTCGCTCAAGCCCCCCGTCCCCCCAAATGTAAGGGTTTGTTGGGGCCCCCAGTCCCAGCCCCAGCCTTGTGAAGATGCCATTTTCTGGGCATCTTTTTGGCAAATAGGAAGGGTTCGAATGGATCTCAGGAGGGCCTACAGTGGCAACATGCCTTGGACCTGCTCTTTGCCCCTGAGGGCGCGGATGCTGTGTGCTTCAGTTCCGCCATCGGCGCCTGTGCTGGGGCAGGCAAGTGGGACACCGTGCTGCAGCTGGTAGAAGTGATGTTGGCGCGGCAGATCCGGGAGTTCAGCATCGCAAGATATGAGCATGTGTCCCAGGCCGGCAGCAGTCTCGACTGTTTCAAGCATTCAGTTTTGGTGTTGCTTCTGGAGCGGATGAGTGCTGAGCCCTCCCCCTTCACTTACATCGATTCTCACGCCGGTCCAGCAGTCTATGACTTGGAGAGCAGCCCCCACGCCTCACGTGGGATACTGCGGCTCACCTCTCAGGCGGCCAAACTAGGAGGGCCGCTGGCCAAGTACACCAGGCTTCAAAGCTCCCAGGCGTACTTGGGATCGCCCATGCTGGCCTCCAGATGGCTTCGAAAACAAGACTCGGCAAAGCTCTTTGAGCTAAGCAATGTTGCTTGCTCTCAGTTGAAGAGGAACTTTCCTTCAGACCGGATTTCGGTGTGTCGAGAGAACTCCTACTGGACCTTAGTGCATGAGGCGAAGTCAGAGGATCGAAGGTTGGTCCTGATTGATCCTCCATATGACCCCTACGAGACATACATGGCCTGGACTTTGTACCTGCTACGGGATTTGTATCTCAAGTGGCCAAACAGCTGTATGGTTTTATGGTATCCTTACCTGGACGAGAATCAGATTCATGGACTTTACCAGCGACTTCAGAGTTTGAAGTTCGACGCCCTCGTTGCGGAATTCGGGTTTCAAGAGAGCAAGTCTTTGGAAACCTCAGGCAGGCCTGGGACAGCATGCGATGCTTTTCCCGTTTAACTGGTAGAGCCTGACTTTGTTGCAGAGAATACATGTGGAAGATGCATGTCAGGCATGTGTTGCACGTCATGCTTGTGCCACAATGGGATATGGAAAGCACACAGCGGCAGTTTGCTGACCTCGTTTATAGCAACTTGACAATCTAATACCTGAGCAAACGGCTGCACGAATAACACGTGCAGCGCTGCCCTTTCCGGCGCCACCTAGTGCGCAAGAACTTGCACTTAGGCCATGTGATTGGGGCGCGTGTCTCACGAGTGCAACCGTAAGATTGTGCGCGCTTCGGTTGGATCCTATTTGGCCCTTTCAGAGTGCACCTTCTGGTGCAATCCAATGATTAAAGATCGGTCACTTGCCGGTGTTCGAAAACCTACATCCACATGCAGGAAAGGATGCACTGTCTTTAACATGCTGGTTGTGGTTGGGCGGTGTTCTCTTGGCGCTGTTCCGTGCGTTGCAATGCAGGCTTGCTTCTAGTTCGTCCTCCGGAGGGGCCGCAGGCTTATTGCCACAGCCAGTCCAGCACCTTGAAGGTATGCTTGCAAGAAAGAGTCAGGAGTGCTAGAAAGGTATTCCACTGACAAATAACCCCTCATTGAGCAGGTCTCTTTTTTGTGTGTCCTTTCTGCCAGACAACTGGGGTTCTGAAGCAATTGAGCACGGCCAACAACAAAAACCAGCAAGGCACCTTTCACGTACCCAAAGCCGCTTCCCAAAAGAATGAGGCTCCCAATCCGGAACCAACTTATGTGTCCTTTGGTGGGCCACGATGACCATTTGCAGACCACAATGCTGAACACATTGATATGTGCACTATGGAACCATGTTCTATCCGCAGGATTCTAAGGACCCCTGATTAGTGACTGCGGCTATCTAGATCCAGGGCAACATGAGTGGGCCAGTTTGGTTGCGCTTGGCAAATGATGGCATGCCTTGAGAACTCACCCGCATGAGGACAGAGATGCAAGTGCGGGAGATGCTGTGGTGCCTTGGCAGTTCGGTTCGGCTTGGGACCTTTTGGGAGAAGCCGATGTGACCATGCCAGACCCAACCCAGGAGGCTCACCCCCTCCCTAGCCAGTTCTATGGAGACGCATGGCGATTTGGTGATTTGTTTGCTGACCCCTTGAGAGACCAACCCTGGCAGGAGTGGTTTGTGCTGAGAGGGCGTGAAGTTAGAGCCGACTGAGGTCTTTAGCAGCCATGTTGCAGCCAGAGCGCAAGATGCCGTTGAAGAATTCAGTATTTTGGCTGTCGGAGTGGTCTGACGAGACAAAAAGGCGCAGCTGCCCGGCGTGAAACGGTCGTACGATCATTTGCATTCCGCCTTGTCGCAGGTGGCTGACGCAATGTTCCTTGCCCTTTACATCCGCGCTGCGCAGGCTGGTTTTCGGTTTGCAGACAGGCGTTGAGCTTTGTCCCAACAAGACATGTCGACCAAGCTGAAAGAGATGGGTTTGTGAGGTTGGCACCTGGCTTGGAGCAGATGCGTGGCCCGCGTCCTTCCTCAGCAAGGCGTGGGATATCCCCAGCTTTCAAGTTTGGAGCTGGGGAACGGAGCGGCTACATGTCGGTGCGGTGCCACTGCAACTCGGGACGCCGAAATGGGGTCATGCTCTTCGTTTGCGTTGTTCCATAAGAGTTGGTGGGACGGCGCCGCGTGAGAACACCCTGTGATATCGGATTCTAATGGGGGCACACTTTCAATCATGATGGGGGACATCAATTCAACCATATGTTTGGGTTCACCAGACGTTCCAGCCAACAAATACTCAAACCGTTCATGCTATCATTTCGTGCTGAGAGTGACTGTCTTGCCAATCGACTTTGGCTCGTGTCAGGCCAAGAGCAAGTGACATCGCAACATGGACTGGAACGCACTTTGTGGAAACAGAACGCACAGACTTCAACACCTTTTCCGAAGATCCTTGGCAACTCAGTAAAACACATGATTTCAATAGCTGGAGTTGCAGCCAATCGCCTCACCTGCGTTGGAACAAGATCGAGGGCTGATCCTTGCGAAGGGAAGGAAACACAAGACAACGGGAGCAAAGGGCAGTTTAAGTGAAAGGGGTAAGTGGCACTTATAGGGGAAAGGGCCAGCGTCAAAGAGAGCAGGAGGCCAGAAGGAATGCAAGAAAGCGCGGCCCAACGGGGCATGCGCCTGCGACCCACGCTGGTCCTAGCACTGGTGTACCTTTCTCAGGCAGGGCGGACCAAGTTGCGAGTTGCATCCATCCACGGCAAAGTTAAACCTAAGGGTCCCCTTTTGTGGGGGAATCAACCATGTGTGGGTTCAAGTCTGCCTTGGGTACTCAACAAGTATCCGGTTTGGGTATCTCCTTTTCTGAGTTTCACAAACATAAAACAAGGAGCTACCCATTCTGAGGGCAACCCCACTTTCATTTTGACCTCTTTGAACCCAAACGCGCCAGATATCGAGCGAACTCTTCTCCGTACCAGCGAGTGGCGGTGCACGTGACAGTCACGGGGCATTCTCATTGGCCCTGTCAGGTATAATGTGAGGGTGTCTGAAAATAGGGGTATCATTTTTTGGTTGGTGTTTAGGCAGAAACCAGTAAGCCAACAGGAAACCAAGGCCCTTTATTTTCTGGGCCTGCGGCCTCTAGGCGGCTACGCCTCTTTGAAGTTATGCCATGTCATGTCATGTTTTTTGTATGAGAAACGTATCCTGCTTGATATGGCTGGTTAGGTTATGCATATTGCCCACCCCAACCCCAGATGATGCCGGGGACGCCAGCTTTCTGGGGCCCAGCCGGGCCCCAACCCAGAAGGCTGACATGGGGTCGCGCGCGCGCGCGCCAAAAGGCCCGAAAATCAACGGGAAAAAGGCAAGGGCCGCGCAGCACGCAAGCCAGCCACAGCAAAAGCAAAACGGACAGAACAACAGCCCAACGCTCAGCACAGCAGTTTTTGGCGGTATTTACAGCATTTTGTAGAGCGAGGGCCCAGCATCGCCGGCATGCCCGGTAGCGCTTGGCGCCAAAATGTGCAAAAATGAGCCTCGCTTATATCCCTCGTACAGTCCTTCATGGGTTGAGAGGCTTTTTGGAAGGAAGTCTTGACGATGCAGACCAAGCCCCGCTGAAGCATCACCCAGGCCCAACCCCAGACCCTCATGATGTCAGCCACATGGCCTAAACCCTGCATATACGCGATGTTTTGCGAGGGTTTCCCACAGGCAAGCAAAACCGCAAGCCCGAGCTGGTGATGCAGAGGTGCCGGATTTAGGTAGCGCATCACGACCAAGTGGCGAGGGTCGGCGGCGCCCGGGTGCAGAGCGGCGACATGCTACCCCAGGAGGCGTAGCCGGATTTACACGCTGACGCGCCACAGCCGGCCACCGGGCACCTTAGCCTTTATTTAGTTCCCGGGACTTGAACTTCGCTTCCTTTGCATGTCTTCCCTGCATGTCCGAAAGTTTCCTGGCATTTCCCTTCACTTCCTTGAACGCCCCTGCATTCTCATTCCTGTCAGTTCCCGTGACGTCAGCCTCGCTTCCCATTTCACGTCAGTTTCCTGCACATCCTATCACTTCTCTTCAGTTTCTCTTTGTTGCCCACAATTTCCAGCAATTTCTTTCGGTCCCGTCCTCCGGTTCCCTTCGCGTTCTGCCCTTGCAGTTTCCTGCATTTTGGTTTCTCTCCAGTGCCCTCTTCATCTTCGTGCAATTCCTGTTTCCCTGCATTTCCCCTTCGTTGTCTGCAATTTTTCAGCCCCTTGTTTCGCATCGCCAGCATGCGTAGCATCATCTGCATCATCTGGGATGATGCTGGCAGTGCTGGGGGTGTTGTCCAGTATTAGGCACCCCAAAAACACTCGTTTTGGACGTCGCAGGGAGGTGCTACAAAAATCCCCGAAAATCGCCTAAACCCATCCGCAAATCCTTCGCCCCTTATAAGCCCCTTATAAGGGTGGCCCCAGCACAAAACGTATGCTCATGTTCTGCGCATAGTCGGAGCATGGTCCGCTCACGGCGTGGGGCCCTCCGGGATTTACACGCTGACGCGACACACCGGCCGCCGGGAACCCAGCCCGTCAGGCCCGTTCCTGCACTTCCAGTCCCTGCATGTCCTTTCATTTGCTTTCACTTGAGCCCCATCCATGGTCCCATCCATTTCCAAGCCATCTCCCATCGATTTTCTTATTGATTGTACCATTAATCATCCACAATTGCCTATACATCTTCCATCCATTTTCCACCAGTTCCATCCCTTCCATACATCATGCATCCATGCTCCATCAATGTTCCACCCGCTTACTTCCACAAAGCTGCCATCCATTGTCCAGGATTTTCCATCCATTTTCCATCACATCAACAATTTTATCCATGTTCCAGCCCATGGAAGTTCGTTTAAAGCACGCCCAGATTCAGTTTGCGCATGAAGCCGAGTGAAGCCACGGGAAGCCAGACAACACGAGCAGATTGAACAGTTGACCTCACGCTGCGCAGCGTTGCTGAGCATAGCTCCGGCGGCGCCTTTCTTTCCGACGGAGCGTCGGCTTCCCACAAGCAAGCGCTGCAGGAGGGCGCAGAGCGTAGCTCAGCGCGAAAGACATGTATAGGGGGCTCCAGGCGCTCGCTGCACTCAATTTGACGAGCTCGTGCCAAATCCAGCCGAGGAAAGCCGAGTGAAGCCAAGCGAAGCCAGACGACACGCGCAAACTGAAGAACCCACGCCTGTTGACCTTGCGCTGCGCAGTGTCGCCGTGCATGTTGCAAGAGCAGCTTGGCAGTTTGAAGGGACGCCGAGTGAAGCTAAGGGACGTCAGACAACACGGGCAGATTGATCAATCTGCTCGTGTTGTCTTCCCTTGGCTTCACTCGACTTCCCTCCGCTTCAGTCGCTTACAACCGACTCTGCGTCGGATACGCAGGCGCTCCCTGAGCTACGCTCTGGCGCGCCAGAAGAAAAACTGGCAAAACGCATGGCCACACTGTGCAGCACAAGGTCAACGGCTGTGGGTTGTTCAATCTGCTCATGTTGTCTGGCGTCCCTTGGCTTCACTCGGCTTCCCTTCAAACTGCCAAACTGCGCTTGCAAAATGCCTGGCGACACTGCGCAGCGCAAGGTCAACAGATGCGGGTTGTACAACCCACACCTGTTGACCTGGCGCTGCGCAGTGTCGCCAGGCATTTTGCAAGCGCAGTTTGGCAGTTTGAAGGGTCTGGCGTCCCTTGGCAGATTGAACAACCCACAGCTGTTGACCTTGTGCTGCACAGCGTGGCCATGCGTTTTGCCAGTTTTTCTTCTGGCGCAGCGTTTGCGTATCCGAGGCAGAGTCGGCTGCAAATGAAACAGAGGGAAGCCGAGTGAAGCCAAGGGAAGCCAGACAACACGAGCAGATTGAACAACCCACGCCTGTTGACCTTGCGCTGCACAGCATGGCCGTGCGTAGCCCAGCTCGTGGCACAAGCAACGTCAGGTTTCACACAGCACCTAAAAATTTTCGTTGCACAAGCAGCAACATGTTTCACACAGCAGCCACCAAGAATGTTCATCGTGCTTGCAGCAACATGTTTCACGCGGCAGCTCGTGATGATGTTCGTCGCAGAAGCAGCAACATTTCCCGCGCAGCAGCTTTCGAAAACATTCGTCGCAGTAGCAGCAACATGTGTCACACAGCAGCTTCTGAAAACGCTAGTCGCGCAAGCAGCAGCAAACAGCCACGTCGGACTAGCAGCAACATGTGTCACACAACAGCCAGCAAGAACATTCGTCGCACTAGCTGCAATGGAACTTTTTTGTCGCATAGCCTTTCAGGCTATGTTACAATGGAGGAAACCAGTAACAGTAGGAAGCAAGGTCAACTTCACTAACAAGCCTTTGGGTTGGCGCCAGGTAGTTGGAAGCCAGCCCTGCGGGCAAGCCAACCCGCACCGTTTCAGCCAAGCAAAGCGCCTCGAACAAACCTGTCGTTGAGGGCTGTTGCCGCAATAGTCTGGTCTCACCTGAACGTGGCTTGTCTCTTTCACTGTAAGCCACGAAAAAAAGAATATTAAAACACCCTGGGGGGGTCACATGTTGCGCATTATTGCTGACAAAGGCAGGGCCGAATTGCGGCGCTTCTCTCGCAGCAGTTGCAGCTCGCAGCTGCATCACACACGGTCAAGCGCGGGAAGAAGGGAAAGTTGCCCGCGGGGCGCTTCTAAATCACTTGCGTGTCCGGCCATGGACAAGGAGCTGCAGGCTGGTGACAGTTGCCCATGGGGCGCTGGTAAGTGATTTGCCTGGCGTACGGACTGTTGGAGCAGAAGGTGAAAGAGCAGGAGCAGCGCGGTGTAGTTGTGGCAGTTCCTGGAGATGGCCTCTTCCACGCGGTGGCAAGGTACGGGGCCAGGACTGGAGAAGGTGCTAGCTCGGGTGGCTGTGGACGGCAGCCTGCGTGCCAGAAACAGAGGCGGAGTTGGAGCGACACCGAGACGTTGTTCGACGGTGCGGCGGCGTGGAGGCACAGGTTCCAGACGCCAAGCTGGTGCTGTGGAGTAGGGT